CAAGCAGTACTGTTTCTCAATGAGGACGGCTTTTGTACTATAAAAATATCCCATAGTTTGTGTTTTTAAGGGTATTATAACTGAAAGGGGCCTGGCCTTCTTGGCTCAGTGCTCGGTCTATGAACCAGGAGGTCATGGTTCAGTTCCTGGGTTTCTGGCTTGATCCCCAGCAGGGGGCGTGCAGGAGGCAGCCGATCAATGACTCTCTCATCATTGATTTTCCCCTCTCTTTCTCCCTCTCCCCTCTTCTCTCTGAAATCAATAAAAAATATTTTTAAAAAAATAAATGAAAGGGTATTATACATTAAAATCCCGTGATAACTCCACAAGCCTCCTCGAGGGAGCTGTGTCTCCAGTCACAGCTGTTTCTAAGCTCAAATTCCTTCCTGCTGACAACGCCCAGCAGACCACCGGCGTCCGCACATATTTATTTAGACAATAATATTGACTACACAGCCAGGCTTTTCTCTCTCTACATCCGGAAGGTTTGCTCATAATTAGCTAAATCAGCTTTCCCTGCCTCCCAGCGCCAAGACTCCTCCGGAAGTGTGAGGCTGCAGACAACTTTCCCTGCTCTCTGCATCTGCCCTGACTTTCCCCGTTCTCCCGAAGCCCTCCCTACGAAAACGCAACGCTGCACCCTGAGCCATGCAGGTGATCAGCTCCGAAGGGAAACACACCTTTTTATTTATTTTTAATCCTCACCTGAGTATTTTTTTCCATTGTTTTTCAGAGAGAGAGAGAAACATCCATGAGAGAGACACAGCAATTGGTTGGTGGCCTCCCGCATGAGCCCTGACCGGGGCTTGAGGATGGAGCCTGCAACCGAGGTACGCGCCCTGGGCTGGAACCGAACCCAGGACCCTTCAGTCTGCGGGCCGACGCTCTAACTGAGCCCAACAAGCCAGGGCAGGAAAGACGCCTTTTTAGAAGGACATTCCTCCCTCAAGGCTCAACCCCTGCCTGCGTCTCCCTCCTTTGGCGGGAGGGTCTGCCACCCACCGCAGCTGTTCTGAGCGTGAAGAGCTCGAGTGCGCTTTTGCAGATGATCGCACAGATTAAAGCGCCGTGTCTTGTTCAGACAGCTCACCTGGGTCATCAGCTGGCACCTCTGAGGACTAACTGGAAACCGACTTCCCTTCCACTTGCGAAATTACTCACCCCTCCCTCTTCAGGACATCCCTCCAGTTCAGGTGCTATAAAAGGAAGGAAAAGCGATTACAAGAAAAAGCACAGGATGCAGTCGATGAAATGTGAGAGGAAAGTCTGGCTGGGTGAGGAGACGCGTCCTTAGAGTGACCCTGTACTGAGTCACCCAGGCCTGTAAGAATCTGATGAGAGATATGAACCCTCTCCCCAGAAAAAATGTGAAACAGGCATATGACCAGCTTTCCTACAATCATGTGGTTCATTGACACACACTCCCCAGTGCTGCATGGACCACAGGCCAAGAGTTTTAGAAACAAGTTTAGAAGCTGATGACAGAAGTCCCTCTAAGGGGGGGGGCTGGGAAATGGATCTTTATTTTTCAATATATCTTTATTGATTTCAGAGAAAGGGAGGGAGAGGGAGAGAGAGAGATAGAAACATCATGAGAGATGAGTCATTGATCGGCTGCCTCCTGCACGCCCCCTACTGGGGGGTCGAGCCCGAAACCCGGGCATGTGCCCTGATCCGGAATTGAACTGCGATCTCCTGGATCCTAGGTCGATGCTCAACCGCTGAGCCACGTCAGCTGGACATGGGAAACTGATCTTAACTACAAACACCTTTCCAAGGGCACGAGGACAAGCACAGCTAACATCACACGGAAGGGGATGGAGAACTGATGCTCCTCAAAGCAAGCAGGTAACTCACGGGGCGAGCTGTTACCGACACACACGGTCCGGTGCGCTGGCTGGGTTTCCGTTCCGTTTGGATGTGCGGCGAGCGGAGAATGAAGCCTGAACGGCAAAGGCTGGGTCCACCTGGAAGGGATTTAAACACATCAACAGAGGAAGTCGAGCTCACAGGAATGGTTTGCTTTTGAAATTTTGTTTTGTTTCCCCCTGTGGGTTGACAGTTTTCCAAATGGTACATTTCCAAATACTCCTGCTGCAGGAAGGCAGCGTATGTGCTAGACCCGCCCGCTTGGGGCCCGGTGGGCGCACGTTCTGGCTCAGCGATGGAAGAGGGGCTGCCGCAGGGACAGGTTGCTGCGGCGCCAGCTGCCTAAGAAACAGCCCGGCTCCGGTGGCTCCACGTGGAGGAGTTCCCTCGCTCGTGGCAGGCTGCCGTGGCTCCCGCAGCGGCCAGGCCTCTCTCCCCTGGGTGTTGGCTCAGCGTTCTCAGCTGAGCCTCGTTGTCCCCTCTGACTCCACTCCACCTGGAAGTGCACCTTTCCTTTGCTCAAAGCAGGTCACCTGGCGATGCCTGGTGTTACGGGGACCGGGAAGGATGGTCCATCGATGGGCCCCGTGGCAGTGAGAAGCAAATGATGATAGAAGTGACAGGAACACGCTTGAAAATTAAAATGAATTTTGAGGAATGTGTGCTGAGATGTTCTCTCTGAATGGGAAAACTACCCCCATTAGATTTTAAAAATAAACGATAGGCTTTCCACGTCCAGCCACAAGGAGAGTGAGAGAGGCCAGTTTACCCTCCTTGAATTAAAAAAACACATGAAAAATGGTTTTAGGCGCTAGACGGCAGGCAGGGCAGGGCTTTATCAGAGAAGGGAACTAGTGAGCCCCACGATGGCCCCACATTACTGCTTGAATGCAGATTCCAGGCTCAGCACAGGGAGGGGAAACCAAATAGAGGTTCGTGGTCTCCCCGAGTCCCGGAGACAAAGATCAGCGTTCTGGGAGATCAAGGTGGGTAGGATTTAAAGGGCAGAGTACAGGAGAGAAAGGAGAGAGGAGACAGAGACAGACAGACAGACAGCTCTGGAGATGTGCAGCAACATCCTCTAGATAGACTGTGGCTGAACATTGCTCTACACGCTCACAAGACGAATCCATGTGAGGACAGTGACTCAACCACCAGAAATCAACAGGCCAAACAAGTCCCGGAACTCACACAGGACTGGAAGTTGGTCACCAGCCAAGGTGTAGACGTCACAATACAGGCAGGTGGCAGGACACTGAGGCACCCCCTTAGCAGGGGCTCAAGCCTGTCCTCCTAACCCCTTCTCGTTGGTAGCCAGAGGGAACCACTAAACATGAAATCCAACTGCTGCTATGTCCACTCCAGGAGCCCAGGCCACTGTCGTCATTGCTCCCACCAGGTGACCTCTTCCAGTTCTTCATATCCAGCCTTGCCTCACTAACTGCTGAGGGAGTCGATTTCTGCTTGCAGATCACTTTGAGATCAACAAGGTGTGTAGTAAAAAGAGGGTGTCCCGATTCGCCTGGGTCACATCTGCTTTTGACTCACCTTTTCTCTCCTGCCAGGTGAGATGTGCCTGGAGCAGCTCATATAACTTGGAGGCCAGGTCCTACTTTTGAACTGAGGGGTGTTGACTAGTGATAACAGCAGGATTCTTTGCGACACACCCTGTCCTACCCTTAACTCACTGGGACTGTGTCCCACAAGAGTCACCTGGGAGGCAGGCCCAGGGGTGGCTGTACCCCAAGAGGGGCTGCCCCCTGACTGAGCCAGGAGCCCTGGCCCTGCTCTTCTGCTCCCAGGGCCCGGGAGGCATTCAGTCACATCTGTTCTTGTCCCAGACTCTGTGGATGAGGGGACTGAGGTCAGAGAGCTTACATGGCTTGTTCAAGGTGACAGGTGTTGGCATCAGTCTGGCAACCAGAGTCCAGGGCTCCAACGCACAATTCAGATCTCTTTACATGACCAAGGGTCTCTTCCCTGAAACGAAGGCCTTCAACAAAGGGGTGAAATGAACAGCGAGAACAGATCTGTGCGTGCAGAGGAACCAGTGCTGTTCATAGTTGGTGCTAAAGACTGTCTAGTGAAGAGACAGGTGATTTGGAAAACAAAATCATTCTGATAGTGTAAATGCTTTTGAAATTATAACACAAGCTTATTAAGAACACTCAGAAAACCTAATTTTACACTAAATATCACTCATAATAATCACACCCCCTACGAACAAGCAGAGAAACTAATCTTTAACAGCCCGGTGCCTGCTTTCTGTGCCTGAGTTTCTCCTGTCGTCCTCTCTTCCAAATCTCCTTTCCAAATACTTACCTGTCATATCTAAAGGTTGATACAATTAATCAGAACATCAACCTAGAAGAACCACGTGTTTGAACCCGGAGTGAAGTATATACTAGGTCATTAAAATGTTGCCACTTGAAGGAGTGTCTCCTAAGTACCAACATCCAATGATGTTTCATTTTCAAATTCCCTTTACTTTTCTGGGCTCACAGTCACTGTCATTGCTTTGGGTATCCCATATATCTCCCCTTCTTAGATCCCTTTTTCATTTTCCTGGCCCTTCCTCATAGCAATTAAACCAGCATGTATGGGAGGTGGCACCGGTGTGATGATTAATTTTGTGTGTCGAGGTGACTGAGCCACAGAGACTCAGACATTTGGTGTGGGGTCCAGAGCACGAGCAGGCTCTGCCCAGGTCCTGGCTGCCAGGCACGCTGCTCCACTGCCGGGCCCCCGGGCTGCAGATCCGTTGCTGGAGTGGAGCGGCAGGGAGGGATGCTGCAGAGAGCCTCTGGCAGGCCCTGTAAGGGAATCGCGGCACAGGCTTGAGGATTTGGGGGCAGAGCCCTGCTATCCTCTGCAGATAATGACTCTCCTTTTGAGAAACAGCTACTGGGCCTCAGATGAGACTGAATGGAAGTGGTGCTTGATTGGCCCAAGCAGGCCCTGAAGGCTCTGAGAGGTTACACAAACAAGTGGCCCAAATGCCCAAGTCCCCACTCTAACTACACTCCTTTCTCCTCCCAGCCTGCCCCTGTGGCACCATGGGACTGTTTTCAGCAGATGGCAACAAGAAGCAATGAATGGTTTAAAAAAATCCACACAGAAAAACTGAAAAGTGTTTTGAAAAAGTGGTTTGAGAATTTACTGTACAGTTTTTTTAAACAATTTATTTATATGTTGGCTTCTACAAGTTCTTACATTTGTGTAAAACATTTGTACATATTCTTTACAATTTGTACATATATTAAATGGCTATATCATAAACACTGTTCTATGAGATTTTATAAAAGAAAAATCAAGGGAAAATTACTTATAAAACATTAACAAAAACCCGTGATACTAAAGAACAGAAAGTCCTTGCTCATGTTCTTCTGATCTCCTCTTCTACCTGTGTTTTGGTTTCACCTCCTTTGTGCCGGCCCAAACCTTCCATTTTCTGTAGTAAAAGGATCAGGTCAGGAACGGAGAGAGTGAAGACCATGTAGTAAGTAAGGCAAGTGTGCGGATGGTGCTCGTCCGCAGGGCAGACAGTGTGCTGAGCCTTCAGGCCTACAGCTGGCAGCCTGCAGAGCCTGCTTTGCTTTATGCCGTTAACTGAAGTACCAGTGACCAGGAAAACTCCGCCTGAAGCAGGGTACGGTCAGGAAGAGCACTGCTCTGGGAAGCTCTGGGGTTAGCACACATTATTCAGCCGTCTCCCTTCTCAGTCGCTAAGCTTTTCCATTTGCTGGGGATGGGGGAGGTCCAGGTAAAAAGCCCTGGAGGAACGCGTCCGTCCCCCAACCTGACCCGGAGCATTCCTTCCTGAGCACAGGGGTCAGTGCGGCCGCTCATCCCCTGGTGGGGGGGAGTCAGAGCACTGGAAAACGCTCCCCACTTTGCCCAGGCATTCTTTCTAGCAAAAAGCGGGCCATGCGCAGGAAGGAAGTGCAGGAGAGAAAGCCCTCCTCCGGGTGACAGCGCGCCAAAGCCCTTCCTGAGGGCGGGCAGGGGACCCTGATCTCGGATTCTGCCCAGCCGCACCCTCTGAAGGGACAGGCCTGCTTCCTTTCCTAAAAACGCAAGCACTTGGGTCATAAATACGTCAGTGAAAGGCATGTAGATTTTCCTAAATAGACAGGAATCCCAAAGCATCAGAAAGAATTATAAAAATATATACAAAGATATGTTTTTATTCTGGCATATTTCATATTTTTAAGAAAGCAATTAGTAATTATCTGACCTTGGGTAAGAACTGGAAGATTGTGGGTGACTGAAAAATTACAATTTTATGCAAAATATCAGTGGGGAAACCTCTAATTTTCCATTCAAAATTCTGGTACTTTTAAGTACTTTCCTTATTTAAACTGGTTTAAATAATGGCCGTAGAAATGAACAAAAGAAAACTGTATAGCTGATGCATTTGGCTAGTGATAAAATGTAGTTTTTCCAACTCTATCTCTTTTTGGTTTTCTTTCCTTTTTGTTTTTTTGGATGATGGGGGCTGGGGGGATTAAACTGCATTGCCCCAAGTCAGAAAGAAGCACTTCGGAGTTTTCTTCAGGTTCCACTCTGTTCTACATAACCGGGAAGCGGCCGAGGGCCTGCCTCAGCTTCTCTGCAATCTGGCGAAAAAACAAGAACATTCTGAGATATCACTTCCATTACGACTTCACAGTATTCTATCATTTCCATCTCTTCTGAGTTAAACACTGTGACAATTTCAAACACTTGGGTCTATGCACCTAGGCTATTTCAGCACCAACCCAGTTTCCTCACTGCTGCCGGAGACCTTCTTATACCCCAGACGCTCGCAGGGAGAGCTCCGCTCCCTCCTGGGACATGGCCCTGCCTCTGTCCACAGCAGCATGTCAAGGCCACACACTTCCTCCAGTGGGGCAGGAGGACCCACCCACCTACGAACTCCAGACACCCAGCTGGCGGGCATGCCCTGTGCTCACATCCCTCTGCTACTACAGCGGGTGACAGCGTCACCTTCACCACAAAGCCACTGCTCTCCTGCAGGTGTGATGTGCCTATGTCTCCCCTGAGGACATGCACACTCCTTGGGGACACAGAGGTCTTAGTCATCCTTGGATCCTGAGCACCTGCGGTAAGTGCTTAGTTGTAGTACTGAATAAATGTCGGCTCCATGAACAAATACACACATTTTAACAACTACATTAGATCTAGTAAAGACAGTGGTTAAATACATGGTTTCCTATTCTGAAATAGGATGGCATTAATAACTAAACCTCACTTGGGCTTGAGAATTATTTAAAAAATTAACTATCAGAATTTCAAGAGTTGCCTTCAATTACTCTCCCACCCAGAACATGTGCCTGCCATTCTAACACAGGGTGCAAGGCGACCACCCAGTGGCCCCAATGAATAAAAGTGTGCAGTACACGGCACAGGAGCTGCACACTGCAGGGGAGAACGCTGCTTATGGGAATCCTTTCTGTACACTTGTCTCCAAAACCAACTGCACAGTTCACTACATGCCTCAGGCCTGTCAATCACAGCTCCCTTTCAAGGACTGGCTGGCGGAGATAGACCTTGTCTGCAGTGTCTAGTCCCAGGATGACACATGCATGGATGTGAGCTTGGGGCCTGTCTACCACTATCGCTGAACACACATAGACAGCACCGTGAACCGGTGGAGGACTCAGGAAGAACAGGGCAGCCAGCACATGGTCACCTATAAAGTTACGGAGCTGTCTTCAGATGGCTGACTCTCACATGCTGGAGCCTGGTTTTCTGGACTCTGGTAAACAGCGAAGTTACCACGCAGAGGAATGAAATTTACGTTCTCATTACTGTTTCCTGAATGAAAATATTTAAGGTCTCACTCTCTCTCTCGTTTTCTTTCTGCAGTCCCTCTGGCACAATGTGAGACCTCATTCACAAACAAAGGCCGCCTGTAGTGTCCTGAGCGGTGCCAGGCTCCTTCCCGGCCGAGCCGCTGGGCGGCAGGGTGACCTCACCCCATTCAGCAGTGTTCCCTGCGCACAGAGGCAGCGAGGGAGGAAGAACCACACAATAAGGTCTTCTTGGGCCTCACCACCAGCATCCAATACCCCTTCTTCAAAAGAAAACCTTTATTTTAACCCAGTGCTATTCAAAAAGGAAAGGCAGAGGTAATCAAGAGATTAAAACAAACCCCACTCAATATCTAACCTCTTTGGGTTTAATAATTAGGATTAAAATATACAAATAGCTCGGCCAGCGTGGCTCAGCAGTTGAGCATCAATCTAGGATCCAGAAGATCGAGGCTCGATTCCTGGTCAGGGCACATGCCTGGGTTGTGGGCTCAATCCCCAGTTGGGGACCTGCAGGAGGCAGCCAATTAATGACTCTCTCATCATTGATGTTTCTATCTCTCTCTCTCTCTCCCTCCCTCTCTCTGAAATCAATAAAGATATATTTAAAAAAATAAAAAAATAAAATATATAACAAACAGATTAACTTTATATGGTCAAAGTAAGTGACCAGGAGTCCTCCCCTCTGTGCATAGATGGTGGGGACAGGAGGGTCAACTTACCGTTTCATAGAACTGTACCTGCTGCTCCAGGTACAGGCGGATGACACTGTTGTAGTCATAGATCCGGTTACTATGGAAGTGATTCATCTCCGCTACAACCCAAACCAGCGTATCAGTCAGTATTCCCAAACTCCACTCAGCAAACAAACAACCCCTTATCAAAATGTGTCTCTTGGTGCCACCCCCACCCCATCACAACCTGCAGGGGCTTCCTCAGCAGAGCATCCAATCACTCCTCCACCTGCCTTTTCCCTACACTCTGGGCCTAGAAAGCCAACCGCTGGCGTCAATTCCTACAAAAAGCTAACTGTTCTTAGTTTTATATTATCTGAAGTTTAATCAAACTGTCATTCATAGTTATGTCAGGTAAAGGTCAGATTTTCATTAATACTGGGATCCTGTGAACAAGAGGCTTATGAGGACAATTCAAGTCAGCTCTCACTTAACTGCTCTTCACACCTGGATTTCTCTCCAGCAAGGAAAATAGCAGCTTTGCTGAAAAAACAATCCCCATCAGCTACACACAGACCTCCTTACCTTGTAATGCGTAAGACATAGTGCCCACGCGCTTCACCATGTTCTGTTTGTCCTGTGGGGTGATTTTACTAGTTGCAACCAGTTTATCACTTTCTTTCACTTTTTCAATTGCTCCCTGGGAAATACAGAAATGAAATGGCATCAGTAAAACAAAGCTGAAACGGTTAGTTGTTTAAAATATAACAATGCAACCTCCTTTATAATTGACTTGCTGTTGAACAGGAAAAGGTCTCCACAAGATAACACAGGAAAGCATCTAAATACAACTTCCTTTAAGTTTCTTGCAAACAAAAAGGTTACTATTCTTGAAAAATATAACTAAGCTAAGACTTACAGTTTTATGTTAGGACAAAGTAGGAAACCAGACAGCCCTCTATTTCTGGAATGCTTATAAGCCACTGCCAGGGTAAGAGCAGTTCTCATCGGGACACAGGTGTTAGGTCTGGTTTACACCATCACTCGCTGAGGACGGTCTAGCGTGTGCACACACAAGGTCAAGTACTCTCTGCCCCTTCTGCACTGAAGTGGAGGATTTGATACGTTGGTGCTTAGGCATGCAGGTCATATGGCCTGAGCTTTGCTGTGATTTCTGCAAGACACACTGAATCGATTTTAATTCAATACTCAGATGAAGTAGCTATAAAAGCTGACAAATACCTCCTGCCCCAGCATCATCACAGGGCTCATTATTTAGAGCTGCCTGGAAAGAAAACCTCTATACTCACGGATAAATTAGCATGCAGGCCTGGAACTCTCACTCTGCTGGGATAAATTCCTACAAGCTAACTGTTCTGAGGTTTTTGTTTTTAACTGAGATTTTAATTTTATTAATTTTACTTTTTTCAGTTTTATTGGACTATGACATTTAACACTGTATTAATGTAAGGTGTGCAACATAATGACTTGACGTATGTGTCCACTGTGAAATGATCCTCACAGTAAGTCCGGTGAACAGCCACCTCCCTTACAGTTACAAAAGTTTTTTTCTGCCCGGCCAGGCGTGGCTCAGCGGGTGAGCATCGACCTAGGATCCAGGAGATCAGGGTTTGATTCCCGGTCAGGGCACAGGCCTGGGTTGCATCAATGACTCTCTCGTCATTGATGTTTCTATCTCTCTCTCTCCCCCTCCTTTCCTCTCTCTGAAATCAATAAAGATGTGTTTAAAAAAAAAAAAAAGTTTTTTGCTTATGATGAGAATACTTAAGATCTACTCTCCCAGCAATTCTGTTTTTATTACATATTTGGAGGAAACAAAATCACTAACTCAAAGAGGTATGGCACTCTCAGGTCACTGCAGCATGATTCACTATAGCCGAGATATGGAAACCACCTAAGTGTCCATCAGCGGATGAGTGGATAAAGATGTTCTGAGTTTTATATGATATTATGTGAAGTTGCACAAAATTTCTTATTTACCTATGTGACCTCTTCATACTTTAATTATAAAGCCAAATGCTAAAATGGACCCAGACCAGTCCTTTGTAGAGAGCTTCCTAACAAATCCTAGTACATCACCATAGCCTAGAGTACTACAGTTGGTAAAATACCCAAAATTCTGAGGTAATACAGACTTTGAAATCAGAATCAAAATGTGAGTATACCCTAAGTCAATTTTTAAATTTAGTTTAAAAATACTTTTTGATGGGAATTTAACATAGTTTCCTTTTTATTAATATGGATAAACATATAATACCAACATGGACCATTTTAACTAGAAAACCTGTTGTAAAGCTCAAGGAAAGAATGTTCTCTTTCATTTGACAGGGCAAGATCTTTGAGGACTTGTCCAAGCAGCTTACGGGGGGGGTCTCACTGCTAAGGGAAGGATTATTCCTATTGTTGTCTTAGATTTCAAACATCATGATTATTTTGTTTTGATACCTGACCTAACTATATGCATAAAGAAATGCTTTTCATATTTTTAGTTCCTTCAAAATAATCTTTTTATATAACAAAAGAAACTAAAAACTACTCATATCCAAACATGTGATGGGACCTTGCTATTTAAACACCCCAAGGACTTCCAGGGGGTTCCAGAAAGCGTCTCCCGGCCCAGGAGTGTGCGAAAGGTGGGGCTCATGCACGCAGGTCCTGATTCAGCTGCGTTGTCTGCTGTAAACTTCTACAGTCAAGTTACCTTGTGAGCACCGATAATATCAGGGAAGCAGCCAAGGAAACCTTTATATTCATGATTACATTCCATCAGGAAATGGAGATCTTTCTTTGGCTATAAGAAGACACAAGTTGGTTGTTACTGGCAGAGGAATTCAGACAATCAAGGAAAAGAAAACGTATATCTGAGGTCTATATTAGCCCAAACTAAGCCGAATGCTTAGTTTTCCTAGAAGAAAACAATCCCCGAGGTTACTACACCTTCTACCATAGGTTGTAAAGAAAATAATAAAACACCAGATAATTTTTTAGTTGGTTGGTAAAATTAGCTACTTTGGGATGACCCAACATACAACACCATGAGGAAAAAACCGGTTAGGACTGTATGTATACATATAAGGAAATAAGATGTTACAATTTAATGTCTACATTTTAGCAGAGAAGATAAAAATATTATTAGAAAATCTAGTAGTCATTGTAAGTGGCATCTTTAACATTTTCCATCTTTTGGAATTATAATTTAATAGCTGTGTTATGTATGGTTCTAAAATTACAAGTAGCAGAGAGTAGTTAATGACATGAGTGTGTCCCCACAGGCACATGTGAACACACACATTTTAAAAAGTTATCTGAAAATATATTTTTTTAATTTAGGGATTTGAAACAACTTAGATGATGATTCCCCTTAAAGGAACTTATTTCTGTTTCTGTAAAAACAAGTGAGATCGGGATGTTAGAGACGCCAATCAACACCATGCTCTGTAACAAGGACGTGCTCCATGCTGCACTGGAGCAGGTGCCTTTTCTTTACTAGCTGTTGAGTCCTGGGCTCCATACAAGTGAGCTCCTTGCAAGGCTGGTGCCATCGTCGTCATTTTCTAGATGAGGAAACCAAGGCTAAGTAAGAGTCCAAAGGGGCCTTGAGCAGCACTCCTTCCTGTACATGCTGATCCCTGATGGCTAGTGACAGGTCTGAGCCCTCGACACTGGAAGGTATTCTTTTAGATTTCTCAGTGACAACTTTACCCATCACTTTAGCTTAACTTAAGAAACACTATTTCCAAAAACACTTAACAAAGATACAGAGGAATAGAAAAGAAGAGGGTATTCATTTGGAAAGTTTATCTTAAAACTGATTTTAGATTAAATATGTAGATTAGATGACATAAAATCTTAATTGGAATTGTGTAATTATGTAATACCTGTTCTGCCACAAGACTGGCAATTTCTTCGTAAGTCTTTCCTGCTTCTGTAATTGCATCATTGAGATCTGTTTCACCTGAAAACCATCACAGTTACCAGTGGTTGTAAGTTATACTGTCTTTTCATTCACTTTATTTAAAAACTTTATTATAGAAAATTTCAGACTTTTCAAAACTAAACAGAAGATACAATGAATCCCCATCTACCCATCACCTAGATTCCCAATAAACAGCTCATGGGCAAGAGTTTTTCACCTACACCATCCACTCTCACCTCCTTTCACTGACCACATAACATTTCATCCATAAATTTTACTTAGAAGGCCTCTTTAAAAAATAAGGACAACACCCTATCACAATTAATACAAGACAACTGTCCCTGATATAAATTATCAGTCAGTGTGCAGCTTTCTGGTGTCTCAAATCGTGTTGGCTGTTTGAATCAGGATGCAGGATGGCATGAAGTTGATGTGTTTCTTAAATCTAAAGGGTCCTTCTCCCAGTTTTGGGTGTGCTGAAGTAACCAGGTCATCTGCGTTGGGGCCCACAGTCTGAGTTTTGCTCACTGTCTCTGTTGTGGTAACACAGCTCTCTGTTCCCTGTATTTTCTTTACACTAGTGGACAGATTTAGAGGCTTGATCAGACCCGGAGGACACAATTTCTAGTTACTTGTATTTTGTGTGATGTTAGAAGCCACAGATGATGGTCACTGTCTAGATCTTTATTTTAGTGTGGGTTTGCAAAAATGATGCTATCCCACTTCTACTACTCTTTATTAGCTGAACTATTTCTGTAAAGAGAAATTTTATCAACTTGTTGGTCACCTTGAAGTACAGGAATCGAAAAGGCAAGTGAAGTGTTTGATTCATCCCCTTTACATTTTTCAGAAAAATGGGGCCAATCCCCCACCATGCTCCAAAGGTGCATGGGATTAACATTTCTTAAAGTACCACTGCATTAAATATGGATTTAAACATATTTAATGTGCGTCATTTCAATGAGTGAAGTGCAATTATTATTTGCACTAAATGCTCAAATCTTTTCCTCACTGGCCAGTCAGTGGAAGGCTCTTCAAATTGGCATCAGGGCTCTTTTTGTTCAACAGGAACCTGGTTCATTTTGGTGGAACATGGTGTTTAGAGATCACCAAGTGGGTGATGTTGGGGGCTTCTTCCTAATGGATTGGATCATTGGCTCTAGGTCTCTTCAGTGAACAGAGCAAAGCAAACTAGTGTTTTTAAAAAAGGAAAACACACATGAGCTCATACTGGTATCTCCAATGCAAAATTAGGGCTTTTCTGAGTATAGTTTAAAACTTTTTATTTTTATCTCTTAAAATCTTAGTGTTAACAGTAACACAATTATGTATTTGCTTTGCCTTACAACATGTAAAATAATTTTAGAAGTTTTGGAAAAACAGTACCAATATTACATTGCTAACCACATGATTATTGAAAATAATTAAAATTATGTGCAGTCTGTTACACCATAAAACATCTGCTACAGTTGAAAGACAGTGTTTGAGGCTGACATGAAGTAACAACTGTGTGTGGTTATGCCTTTGTCTTATTTTGCTTTTGCTTCTTAGAAATTTTTTTTAACATTTTGACTTAAATTTATTTTCTAATAATTATGTAGAACATTCACATGGTTCCAAAGTCAAATCTACCAAAAAGATGCAATCAGAAGTCTAGCTCTTCTATCTGTCCCTTTCTTCCCCTAGCAGTAACTGTTTAAAAATTTTATCAGTTGTTATTTCCATGATAACCCACAAGAATATGAACTGTGTCAAGGATTTGTGGAGGGGCCACACTAACAGTCTCTACTGTTCCAATGTTAGTACATATACTGTTAAAGGGGGCATGGAGGGTTATACTTAATATAATCCGAGACAGCCTTAGGAACTGAAAACAGTATGTTTACATTATGGAAAGATCTCAGAGTGTAGCACCACCCCAGGGTACCAGTACATCTGAGCAAAGCGAGACGTGGCAAGACACAGTACTCATCGCTGCTGACCTTCATTTTCCTTGAAATGGAAGAAACCAGTAAATGGGGACTTGAATTCATACACGGGAGCCCCAAATCTTAAATTCTGGTGAGATTAATTTCTTATTCCTGAAAATACTCAGACATTGACATGCAAAGACCTAGTTCCCTGGGTATCAGGATAAACACCCTGGTGAAAGTACCAATTCTATCATTTCTGAAAGTGACAGGACTTACTCACATTTAATAAGTGTCACTCACCTGACAAATACTTTTACTTCCTACCTGCTCCAGAGGCCACATTAAAAATATAAACCAAAATATAAAGGAAAACAGCTAACTTATTCTCGTGTCATCAATATAAACATACAATGAACCTGAAATACTAAGTTGAAAATAATTACAAGTTATGGAGAGAATTAAGGCAACGTGAACTTGTCAGTCAAACATTTTTTCTGCAAGGGACCTTGATGAGATCTGGCCTTTGTATTGGGAAGACCTGACTTGACTTCAGTCTGGCAGAGATGAAAGCAGGGCAGGGTGCTACACAGTATAGCCATCTGTTTATTAAAACACAAGAGCTATGCAAAGAAAGGCAAAGAAGCTAGCAAGAAAATACACTTTACAATCCTCCACTCTTCTTAAAAGTAACCAAGTGAGGTTGCAAGAGTCCTGAGTGCAGCAGCCCAGCCAATTTGAGTCAGTGCCAAGGGTGCTTACCTGTAGAGTTCTTGTCTGTCTACAGGAGCCTGGGGAGGGCAGGCAGTTTGGATAAGATACTAAAGGCTCACAGAATAAGTAAATAGAGACGAACCTTGATAACCACTGGAACTGAATACTGTTGCTAAACTCTGCAAGGCCTTTCCTATCTTCTGATACTCCTTGGGTAGTGCTGAAAGAGAAAAAGAAATAAATTGTCAACTAGTCCTCCAAAAACTGAAATGGGACTCAACTATTTTCTAAAAGTGGTTACTTTCATAATAAAAATTTGAAGCAATTCAAAATAGTCTATATTCTTTAATAAAATGATTGGTTTTTTAACTTAATGATTGTTTTTTCTAATCAAATTCTTTCAATTTGTAATTAATTAATCACTAGTGGGCGCTATTATTAACAACCAGCTCCACTGCCCAGTGACATCCAAGTGGATGGGCAGCTCGTTGAAGAAGATTCTAGTGTAGAGTGCTTTACATAAACCACCCGCTCGATCACTACGACCCCCCCACCAGCTACAGACACCTCCTCCACATCATGGGTTAGGAAAATCAAGGTCAGATAAGTAAACTGCTGTGCTCAGGGTCACAAGGCTAATGAAGGGTGGATTTGGCAATTCAGATTCCAATTACATTGCTTTCCCCACTCTGCTATGTATGTATAATTATTTACAAAACAAAACAACAACAACAACAAAACAAAACTAAAAGCAACAAGCTGCGGAGAAAACAAGGCAGTGGGACTTTCCAGGACCAGGGAGGAGGGATTTTCGCTTTCTTGTCTGTAGAGTAAGATTACTGCTCTCTCAGTTCCTTCTAGCGCTAGAATTCTAGGAGCCGAGGACTGCTCTGGAGAACTTCCTAGAGAAGAGCCTGTATCTTAGGCGGTTATCTTTGCATCTGTATACAGTCCCCTTAAACATACCATTGCCTTTCAAAAGAAACCTCACTTGCACTTGAAGAATCAGTGCCGTGTCAAAGGAGAAAAACGGTACAAATGTTTCTGTAAAATGAATCTAGGCCAGAGGAATCTGAAGCACGGTCCAGAAAATACAGTAATCAGGAAACACGAATTCAAACTACATCTGCTGAGTTAATTTTCATAAACTGTTTACCATCTGTAACTCAGTTTTTGCCTCTATACCTGGGATTAAAGACACATGCTTCCACACACAGTGTGTGCTACATTTCTCACTCTACAGGTAAGGGATTTAAAATCAACAACTCCTTTGTGAGAGAAAGGAAAAAGACACGCCTCAGTCAAATCCTAAACAAAGTGCTTCAACCTGCCGACCCCAGCCCCCAAAAGGAGCCTTAAAGCCAATGTTCCCTATTTCATAAATTTGGCCTTATGGGTCCTGTAGGACATGGAACTGACCAGATGTTGGAGAGAAAGGACTTCATTCTTTAAAAGAAACCATCATCCCAGACTTCTGTGGTATCTTTAAAAAAACTCAAGACTTGCACTCATTTACAATATTTCTAAAAAAAGGAACCGGCTTTCAAAGAACATGCAGATTTAAATGACTTACTATGGCCTCATAAGCTTACAACATTCATTATTTTAAAAATGAAAAGATTTTATTTGTATGTTAGAGAAGTGTCACTCCCCTTTGCTCTCCTGAGTCACTCCTTGTGACCAAAGGCTTGAACCAGACTTTATTTTCTAGGCTGCGTTCATAATCATAATTTTCTCAGGCTGGGTTCTACATTTAGGGCACAGATGGCACTCCTCTGCACAGGAAAGGAGCAGCTGGCACCCCAGGCGGTCTGCCTCAGACACACACAGAGGTGCTCTACAAGAGGTTTCATTGATATAAACTGTGTGGATGGTGGAGGCCCACTCGGCCTTTTTTCTGCAAAGGGCGGGACAGTGAGTACTTTAGGCATTGTGGGGCCAGAGGTTTCTGTTGCCACTACTCAGCTCTCTGCCACTGTAACATGACAGCAGCCACAGACAATACAAGAAAAAATGGGGATGGCTGTGTTCCTTCCTATAGCACTTTATTTACAAAAATGGGGGATGCCACATTTGGCCTGCAGGCCAGAGTTTGCCGATTCCTGAGGTAAGACTCCGCTTCAGGTCTGGGTCAATAGATCTTAGAGCTGCTATTAACCGCTATTTTAACATTTCAACCACAAGTCACTCCATACTCAGTTTCCTGTTCATTAAAATTCCTATTTGACTTCAAATTCTGATTCTTTTTCATTATTTAGAGGAAAAGAACCACCTTAAAAAAATCTTTACAATAACAAATAATTTAACCTTCTTCCTAAGCTGATTACCAGAGTATTGATTTAAAAGTGGGTATGTATTACTTTTATATTTTAAAGTAAATTCATTTTTATTTAAAAAAAATAACTGGGGACAACCAGCATTCTTGTAGGTTCTAGTGACAGAATAGCAGGACCTCGTTCTCAGGAAGTTAACAGGGTGAGCCCTAACTGGAGCTCAGAAATCTGGGATTTCTCTTTGGGACTGTGCTGGCAATAAGGGCAGAATGGGTGTAAGGGGAGAAAACTCCTAGTCCTCTAAGGCAGCAAGACTCATCTGTGTGAATGCTACTGCCGTGGCGGCCAACCTCTGGAGTCTTCTGAGCCCTGGGGTGAGCAGGACAGGGGCTGTGGCAGGACCCCACTGCTGGACACCTGTTTCTCGCTTGGGCTATGTGACACCAGAGCTGCATGGTTCTGGGGAGTACAGCAACGTGGCTCCACAGACTGACAGTCTCCAAAATAGGGAAGTGAGGGGACAAGAAGTCCTACAGGATATGGAAACAGCAGCCAGGATGCCACGGCTGACGGTGTCACTTGCCCCTCAGCAGTGCCCCTTGTCTGACCTGTCTTATGTTTTCTACCACTTACACTGGTTTTTCCTAAAAATTATGGCATCAGTCAAATTAACATCTTATCAATGGATGAATATTAAAAACTAAAATCAGGAGATTAAAAATAACCACAAGCATTCTCTAAACATGCAGAAAAGATTAATTTTCCATAGATTACAAACCCCAAATAACTGGGAAATATTTAAGCAAACATGGTGTTTTTTTATGAGAGTTCTTGAACTGGCTTCATTCAAGCCAACTGTCTGTTGTTGAACTAGGGCTAAGAAATGAGGTTCATCAAAGAGCTATGGGAACGACAGGACTTCAGGTCACTAAAGGCAATTCTGCCCGAGGTGAGGTCCTCCAGTGTGACAAAGGCCACAGAGCGGAGCCTGCACTGCCACCTGTGAACCCAGTGGCGCTGTGGGGTACACTCACGTCCTGTGCATCGCTTCCAGTGCTCCTGCCCTACGGTCAGCAGCTCCTTCACGCCGTCATCCATGGCTTTGGTGAATTTACCAACAGCATCACACTTCTGTTCTCTGTGGGGCAAAAACATAAGAAGGTGCCTCCTGGGCTTAGCCACCCAATGCCCATGTCAGGTGGAGGAGAAGCCCCGGCGTGGTAAGGGAGACTCACGCCGCACAGAACCACAGGCACTTGTTTTCTTGCATTATAACAATAGCCCTTTGAGCAAATTAGTCTTACAAACAGGCTTGGTTCAGGTTTTTACAGAACTACTTAGAAATGTGCCATTTATATTTTACTCTGGCTTCCTTTCCCCCTCAATTCCTTGTGAGTGTTAAATAAAATTATTCTAAAGTGAAGAAAATCCTCATTTCTTGAATACCTTATTTAGTAAAATTCAATCCTGGGAGGTACCATGGAACCTATAAAACAATAATATGGGCTGCTAATGATAGGTGTTCATTCTTCCAACAGTGAGTCACAGAAAATAACCTGGATGCACAACCATCAAGGCAGAGATTTTCAATGGTGTGCCATAAGAATATTTAAAATATGCAGTACCTGACCATTTAGTCAGGGGCACTGACCTCTTTTCCCTTAAACTCTCAAATAAAAAAATGACAACAGCCAACACAACAAGAGCCATCTGGTGTGAATGAAAATTATACCTATTTTTTATTTTTGTCAGATTGGCAAAAAAATGTAACATATTTTTTGGTGTGCTACAGAATTTTAGTAATTAGTTTATGTGCCATGAGATGAAAAAGGTTGAAAATCGCTGATCTAAGGTGATACTGAACCTATCAGTCTCTAAAGATGTAAAAAGTATTTACGAACCTGAAAAAAATCATCACAATATACTCTTCAATTAAAAAAAAAAGGTGATGCCCGGCCGGGCGTGGCTCAGCGGTTGAGTGTCGACCTAGGATCCAGGCGATTGGGGTTTGATTCCTGGTCAGGGCACATGCCCAGTTGCGGGTTTGATCAATGACTGTCTCATCATTGATGTTTCTCTCTCTCTCTCTCCCTCTCCCTTCCTCTCTCTCAAATCAATAAAGATATATTTTAAAAAAATAAAATAAAATAAATAAAAGGTGATAAAGGAGAATGTATGGTGTGAGGTCATTTTTGTTTAAACAGCATTTCCTTTAGATAGATACATATGTACCAAGGGTTGGAAGACTATAGATGTAGGCCAACATACGAACACTGATTTTCTCTTGGTAGTTGAAAGACTGTTTTTGTTTCTTTTCTTGTCTATGTTTTTGGTAACACAAACAATAATTTTATAAGAAAAAATTTTCTTAAAATAAAAATAAAACCTTCAGACTTTTTATTAGTCCTTACTTAGAAAAGGTAGGAACTACTCCAGATTTTCAACTATACCCACATTAAAAACAAGATGACATGATAAAAACAACAGATAAAGAACTCAGAAAAAGCAGGTCAAAGATTACTTCCTTCAAGGCAGTTCAGAGAGAGCTCCACTCTGTGGACTGCGACGTGGGAGTGAGCTGGCTCTGTGCCATGTTGTTTCATCACCCTTTACTGGGAGTAACTACCAACCACTGTGTCAACCCTGAAATCACAGACTTCAAGGTAAAAAGGAAGCAGACTTTCTTTTCATCTGAGGTTCTGGCTGGAAAGATATGCTTTCACACACCAAGATGCTTTCCTTGACTACAAGCCCTACTCAGTTCCTACACTCAAGTCTGACCAAGTTCCAGTTGCGGCGGTGCTGGCTAGACCTGTGAGCAAAGGAGGCAGACTCGGTTGAGAAGGCGGCAAATTTGGCAGTATCGCTTACATTTCTGTTAAGTCCAAGTCAGGGGCCTCTGGTTCCATGGTGGAAAATATCATGACTCCCACCAGCTCATCTTTCTCAGCCTTCCTCTTCCCAGTTTTCCATTCCTGTAAATGGGAGCGTAATGAGTTAAACTGACTGAGAGCAGAGTCAAACTGGTCTTTCAAAATACCCTAGAATCGGCTCACTGATTCTAATTCTCCGGAAGCAGCTCCCAAGCCATCTCCCCCCTGCATCATGAGCCAAGGCCTACACATCTCAAATGTAATCTCACATGTGATCAGTGCCCCTGCACAGCATGGTCTCTATGAGCCTAAGTCCTTTCCTAGTGAGGTGATTCAGTCAGTGTTCTTTTCCCAACAGCTACCAATCTAAACACAGAGACCATAAACACACCCCACGAATTTTGACAAAAGTGCCTCAAATTTCTAGGTTTAGTTCTAAAAAAGGTTAAATCTTTTCTAAAATACAAGAAGGAAACCAATATTGTGAGCTAGTTTTAAAAACATATTATTGCAATATATATATATATATATATAACATATATACACATACAAAAAAGTGCCCAATGCGAAGAGTTCTCACCAAGTAAATTCCTGTGTAATTACCACCAAGACCAACACCAAGACCAAGACCAAGCAAGGGAAGAGCTAGCATTGCAGAAGTCCCTCATGTCCCTTCCCAACCACTGCGCCTTCCTCCCCCACAAGATAACCATTATCCCCTCACTCCTTTATGGTTGTCATTTCCTCACTTTTCTTTAGAATTTTACCACCTAAGCATGAGTACCTAAACTATAGGTTTGCTAGTTTTGTTTTTTAACTAGCAGAGAACTCTATACTATAAAATTTTGTATGTCTGTTCTTTTGCTCAACTTGTGTATAGGAGCTGCATTCACACTGTTGTTATAGCTATACAATATTCCATTGTATGAATATTCTCCCATTTATTTATCCATCCTAAGACTGGTAGATACCCCTGGCCCCTGCCAAGTTATGAATGAAGCTGCTATGTATATGTCTCCTGATTTATATAAGTATGCATAATATACATGCATTTCTGTTAGGTATAGACTTTTTTCCTAGGATCAAAATTTATTTCGTATCTGCTGTTGGCAGTTGAGATAATTTATGCTTTCATTCTTTTGTTAAAAATATATCTTTATTGATTTCAGAGAGCGGAAGGGAGAAGGGGAGAGATGCACAGAGGGATAGAAACATCAGTGATGAGAGTCATTGATCAGCTGCCTCCTGCACTTCCCCTACTGGGGATCAAGCCCACAACCTGGGCATGTGCCCTGACTGGGAATTGAACCTTGATGCTCAATGACTGAGCCACTCCAGCAGAGCTATGCTTTTATTCTTTAGATTGTTTTCCAAGATATGTAATAACTGTTATGAGAGAAACTATGAGAAAACATCTTTAGAGAAGAAGATACCTTAAAGAGTACAGTAAAAACTTACTGAGAGCAAAAACTACTTTGCTCAGACAAAAATGAGGTGCCAACCAGGCAATTTTTTCTTGATTATAAAAAAAGAACTGATGACCACTGGCAGAATTACTGCCCACAGGGGCAGGCAGAGGTTAGCATTTATTCTGGACTCTCATCTACAGTTCTGGAAAAACAACTTTGCTTTGATAAGGATGGTTCAATTCCTAATTACCTTTCCTTTCAAAATGCTATTACATTGTAAGGTCAAAGTGTGATCATAGCCCTGGCCAGGTGGCTCAGTTGGTTGAGTATTGTCCCATATACCAAAAGGTTGTGGGTTTGATTCTCGGTCAGGGTGTATATGGGAGACAACCAATCAATATTTCTCACATCGATGTTTCTTTCTTTCTTTCTTTCTCTCTCTCTCTCTTGCCCCCCACCCCTTCTCCTCTCTAAAATCAATTTTAAAAATGTGATCATAAAAAACTCACTCTATTTCCCTCACTTCACCCTGATAATATCCTGCAGTTTGAGGTCCATCCTATTTTTTAGCATCTAGGAAACTCACCCCAGCACATCCTTCACCTGGCCCACACTGGGCCAATGTGTTCTCCGTCTATGGAAAATCATCCTGGCAACCTTCCAGAATTCGTGACTAATTTCCTATGGCTCGGATTTAGGTTTACATCCCTACTGTCTTTGTGGAGGAAATGAGAAATAACCACCTAACTAACATAACTTTAACTTCTTTCAGACATAAAACTGGTGTGAATGTGACAATTCTCAAATACACTAAGACTGTCATCATAACATAACCTACCTTTTCATCCCGGAAATTTAGAAACTGCTGGAAAACCTCACTTTCTGAAATTACTGGATGTCGACACATCCTGGTCATCCACGCCTGAAGTCTCTCCATGCGCATTTTGATAAATTCTTCTTCAAAGCGACCTGCAAGGGAAACGCCGAGAGGGATGTACCACTTTGTCTAAAATAAATGACTGTTACTACAACTGAAAAGCTCTTTATATAACTCATGGGTGGGGAATGTCCGGTCTGAATATGGCCCCCGAAATCATTTGGTCTGGCCCTGCCAAGAAAATAGCAGGCGGGACTTGAAATTCAGTAAATCTAGGGGTTTTTCAAAGCTAATTTTAAGTTGATAATTTTGTTATGGCCTGAGAATGATGTTATAAATATCCAAATGGCCCTTGGCAGAAAAAAGGTTCCCTCCCCTGATATAGCTAATGGCTACTTGGTAGAAAGTTATTTAGTAAAAGGCAAATCACAGTAATTTTTCACTAACCTACAAACAAGCAACACAGCGGATGCTCAAAGACCCACAGGAATGACACAATAGACTTTTTAGTTTCTAAGAATGAAATTCCAAGTGGACAAGTTAACAAACCTTTTAACTGTGACAAGAATATTATAGCCTCAAAGTGCTATTTTCCTCAAGGATCTCTAAAGTACTTAAAAATTTTTAAGTAAATCTTATTTCAATATGAAAAACTTTTTCTTATAAAGTAATATGTGGCCATATTAAGTCCAATCAGCAAGAAAGAGGAGATATTGTTTAATAAGTAATTCTTACAAAGTACATGAAATTTCTATATTTATAAAAATGTAACCAAAGGCAGTATAATCTCAGATACACAAATTTAAATTTAGTATTTATGCAAAGTAACTTAGGACTGTAGCTTTTTTCCCCATTTTTAAAAAATTACTTAAACTGAAATTAGAAAAAGCAATTTTTCCATAAATGCAATAATGAAAGCCGCTATTCCAGAACTTATGACCATCCTAAAACAGAGCTTAACAAGTTATGTTTCTGTTTTAAAAGAAGAAAGTCAGCTTAACAAGCCTGATGTACTGAACATCAAGTGAACACTGAGAAATTCTATAAGCCCACCAAACAAAATCACTATCAGTTAAAAAGGCTTCCAGAGATGGAAATTCCAGCTACAGTCAAGTGAGGCAATCGGCTAACTCAGTCCCCCCAAAATAACTATAAACCCAGAAAAGCAAAACAATCAGTGCTCTGGAAATCAACCGAAGGCAAACAGCCATCTGAGAAGTGTTTATGTTTGCAAAACAGCTGAACTTCAGGCAAGGACAGTGGAAATCTGTGGCATTCTGGCTTGGGGCTGTTCCTGCCTTCCCCTGGTGCCCCTCCCCTCCCACTACTTGGTCGACATGGTGATTCTGCCAGGGTGGAGCAGGGTGTGGAGATTATCAGCTGCAGCTTCCCTGGTGAGGAAAGAGCCTCACTTGATCTGGAGCAGTAGGAGATGCCCACGCTCAGTGGTGGTGGCACTGACAATCCAGAGGCTGGTGAAAAGAGAGGGCCAATAGCTCCACTAGCCAAGGTTACATAGTTGAGCCAAGACTTTCCAGGCTGAGGCTCAGCGCATAAACAGTGGAGACTTGATGGGGTCCAAGCCAGGCACACACTCCTGGCCAACTCAAGAGACTGCACACGCATGTAAAGGAGACACAAAAGGGCCCTTGAGAAAGGAGGAACCAGCGCTAACTTGAAAATGACCTGAGCTTTGAATGTGCTCCCCTACTCAAACAGATCCACTGGCAGAGGGGAGAAGCCTTAATGGCTTGAAGAAGGCTCACCACCAATATACACAGACACAGCTGAACCCTAGGGAGCCAAACTTAAAAAATAAAATAATAAAATAAAGAATAAAGTAATAAAATAAATAATTCAGCTGCAGGAGAGATAAATTTTAGAGATTTAGCCCAAGCAAGTTACTTATAAAACAAACAAATAAAAAAATAAAGCAGAAACAACTTTCAGAGAAAAAAATCTGAGTTCAGAATTGCTGAACCATATTCTCCAAAATGTTCAGTTTTCAACAAAAATTTGAGATTGCAAAGAAACATCAAGGTATAATCCATACTGAGGGGAAAAAACAGTCAGGAGAAACAGTCTCTAAGTGCTCCCAGATGTTGAATTTTACAACAAAACCAAAACAAGCAGACAAAGAAGCTTCTATAAATATGTTCAAAGAACTAAAAGAAGCCTTGTTTAAAAAAATTGAAGAAAAGTATGACAAGGACTCAACAAATAGAGATTCTTACAGAGACAGAAATTATGTAAAAAAGAATAAAATAAAAAGCGTGAAGCTGAAAATACAATAACTGAAATTACAAATTCACTGAAGGGTTTAACAGCAGATTCAAGATGGCACAAGAATGAGTGAATCTGAAAATAAATCAACAGAAGTTATTTAACCTGAAGAACAGAGAGAAATAAAACTAAAGTAAAACAAACAGCTTCAGAAAGCATCAAACACACCAACACACTTGTGATGAGAGAACCCAAAGGAGAAGAGAAAGAAAAAGAAAAAAGATTTGAAGAAATAATGTGGGAAATTTTCCCAAATTTGACTGAAAGCTTTAATTTATACTCCCAAGAAGCTCAACAAACCCCATGTAGGATAAATATAAAGAATCTACACCAAGATATAGCAGAATCAAACCACTAAAATACAAAAACAAAAAGAAAATGCTGAAAGCAGCAAGTGAAAAGCAATTCGTCATGTGTGGTGGGGTGTGCATGCACCTGTGTATCTGTGTGATGGGTCTGGGCAGCTCCTGTGTATTAAAGCACTTCAAATTCTGCACGTACTATGAGTAAAGATTAAGTACTACGTATGTTTAGGCTGTGAAAAAACAGTCTCATCTGCTGGGAAGAAGGTGAACCCCCACCCCCACCTCCTGGACAAAGAAGACCCAGTAAAATCCCCATCATGAGCAAGTGAGTTACACCAAGAGTTCATAGCCCACACAACGGTTGATTCTTCTTCTTCCTGAAATGTCTCTGACATAGCTGGTTTATTTACAAATGATGACTTCAGGTGTTATTTTGTGCTTGGTAAGGTTGCAGAGAATTTGAAAAAAAGGGGGAAGAGACATTTCCACTTCCCCATGCTCAATGGACCTTAGATTTTCACAAAGAATGTGAATATACCAGTTTTGTACCCAGGAGTAAAGCCAGATTCATTCAATATTATTTCATAAAAAACAAAATCTATGAACAAATGAAAAATGTTAGCTGGGCTTGGTTGGCGTGACTCAGTGGTTGAGCGTCTACCTACGATCCAGGAGATCGTAGTTTGATTCCTGGTCAGGGCACATGCCCGGGTTGTGGGCTCGATCCCCAGTGCGGGGAGTGCAGGAGGCAGCCAATCAATGACTCTCTCATCATTGATGTTTCTATCTCTCTCTACCTCTCCCTTCCTCTCTGAAATTAATAAAGATATATTTTTTAAAAAAGTTAGCTGTAAGTTTTCAGAGACTGATCAACAAGTACACAGAGATGCCGTGATATTATCTACTTGGCATTCCTTTTCTGTTCTCCAAGATTTAAGTATGAGGGGAGTTCACACAATAATGATCCTGTGGCATCAAGGGCAGGAGGCAAACAAGAGGAGGGAGGGATAAAGTGGCTTCTGTGCCTTTCAGTTTCCTCGGCACATCTCCCAGTCAGTGAATCAAAGCTCAACTCTCTACACAGGAGAGGCTGTTGCTTTCTGGCTTTTCTATGACATCCACCTGGCTTTGGGCCTGAACTTTTTTTAAAAAAACACCACCACCACAAACCTTAATATGGAAACAGAACCATGATTCCGTGATGCTTTAAAATAGCACAGAGTTATCTGATTTAGAATAAACAGTGTATTAAAGTCTAAGGAATCTGAAAATTCCTCAGCCCTAAAATAACTCATTAATCCATTTATTTCATATATTGGGCCAATCAAGTTGATAAAGGAGAGGATAAAATAATTCAGGAAACTGAATTTTGAAAATATGGAGAAAGGCAGACTGAAGTTTTCATGGAAAGAAATCTCTATTTATTTATTTATTAAATATATCTTTACTGATTTCAGAGAGAGGAAAGGAGAGGGAGAGAGAGAGAAACATGAATGATGAGAGAGTCATTGATCAGCTGCCTCCTGCACACCCCCTGACTGGGGATCAAGCCTGCAACCCGGGCCTGTGCCCTGACCGGGAATCGAACCCTGATCGCCTGGATCCTAGGTCGACGTTCAACCACTGAGCCACACCCAGCAGGGGCTCAATTTTTTTTAAAGAAAGCTGTGATTTAAAGCAATAAAGATGACAAACCAGGCACAGAACTAGGGGTACAGTGACACCTCTGAGTGGAAGGAGGCAACAATGCACATCAGCTTGGCCACCCTGACACAGCTTCCACTCAACTGCCCCCCTGCCCTAAAAGGGGCTGATCAGGAGTCACCCAGAAGAGGGCAAGAATGTGTTTATCCCTGGCAATGTAGCCCCAGCCCCACTCTCAATTTTGCTGTGACAATTTGAAATTTTTGAAAATTAAAATCAAGATCAAAACAACTTTTTAAAAACAAATTTCAATCGCCTTAAAAATTTTCAGAGAAACATAAAACAAAGTACAAAGTAAAGTTTTAAGGAGTACAACTTTCTTATCCTAAGGTTACTAATTCTAACTAAAGATCAGTTGGTCCACATCTCACAATGTACACAGAGCGAGCCTTGGAATCAGATTCGTTCCTTCTGTAGCAATGCTGAGCGGAGTGTGCTTAGCGTCTCTAAACAGTGACAGCATGGTGAAACGTCTAGGCACACAAGACCCCGGCCTGGAGGGATACACTTCACTACAGCCCTGAGGTGTCCTGAGGGGGCTCTGCCTTTGGCTGGTTAAGATTCTCGGTTCCTCTCTGAAGTATTATCTCAACTCCTACTGAGGATTAAACCCTGTCGGGTCTTCCTGACATCACTGGGTTCAGGTCAGCCTGTTGATGTCGTCTACTTCCCTCAGAGGCCTGTCTAGCTCGGACCTTTTAAGCTTTACTCTCATCTTGGATCCTTTCCATTCCATACTTACTAGTTTCATTTATTGGAAAAGTGTCTAGCTACATACTAAAACTCTTTCCAATCTTTAGTAAAGCTCAACTTCTTTACAAACTTTATTCCAAGAAAAACATAATGAGTCCTGAGTACTAATATTCTAGGTTCTATAAGGAGATTTAAAAAACATCAATGAGAGCTCTCAAAACAGACACAGAAACCAAAACTCTGACTGTGTGTTTACAAGGGACTCTGGTAGCACCGTGGATTATTGACCAGGCTACTTGGGGCAGGGAAGGGGAAATACGCCGCCTTAAACAAATAAGAAAAAGCAGAGACTAATGATCAATAATAAATAAAAACATTTAAATATAAATAGTCACCTAAATAATTGAGCAGAAAACCTGCCATCTCCCTACATTAACAGTCTGAAGCTCCGTGGTTTCCACTTCTGATGTTTACAAACTTCAATGAAACAATACACCTGGACCGCATGAGGTGTTCACACCAGCTGGGTCATAGATTTGTATTTCCACTTTAGACTATTTGGATCATTTCTATTTTCTCAGGTATCATTTTTCATACTTAAAAAAATCACGTACTTCTTTTATAGGAAAGGATGTAGCAACAGACACAATGACTTTGCTAGAATTCAAGATACGTATACAAGAACTCTGATAGGAAATTTTGTGCAACTTTCTCGTTAGGTGTTTAGGTAACTTCCAAATATATGCACAATATATATAGCTGTATATAAGCTACTATTTCCAAACTCCCACGTCTGGCTCCTCTAGAGGACGGAAAACGCCATCACTGATTTACATCAGGAAGCTCTAACTGGAGTCCTTTTACCTGTCATCCTGAGTTCAGTGTCACACATACTCACCTGTGACCTGCTTGTCTGGAAGAGAAGGGATTGGAATGGCTGACCCAAACTTAACCAGGAGACGTTCATATAACCAGTCAAAGTGCTTATACCTGTGGTTTACAGATCGATTAGTATTCTACAAAATAAGGGAAAGAGGAGAAAAAGTTACAGTGCAAATTATAGAAAATGAAGAAAAGAGCCAATTCTAACTAGTGACATAAGTGTGATTCTGCTTTTGATAACTGGGATACTTACAGTGGGTGTTAGCTGATACTCAATGTAGCTCTTCAGCCCATACATTTTGGAGCCTTTCCTGGGGTCTGCTACCACACAGTCAAAGGTAGAGGTAGGATAAACCCACATCGGGCCATAATCTCCAACCTACACAATGTTCCAGGGAGAGTTAATTTTGTTATAAGGAAAAACGGTAAATAAAATTGATGTAAGTCATCAAATGGTTCTCTTTAGGACTAGAAGTCCTTTGGAGGGTCATTCTTGCCCTTGTTTGAGCCATTTCATAAATGCGCTCTGTTGCTGCTGCGGTTCTATTTGAAGGCACATTCTCTAGGGCAGACTCTTCTGTTCCTCCTATGGGCATTCCAGGCCATGCAGGAGATGCCTACCTCCCTCCCCTCTGGAATGCTGACAGAACACAGCTTTCCTCTCTCTGGTCCAGCCGTCTTAGTTATATGTACAAAGAGCTAATTTTAAACAATTTCTTATCTCTCATGGACTGATAATTTGTGAAATATAAAATTACACCCTTGGATGTCTGAATAATGACAAATTGCCATCCAGCTTTCTCAACACTCTCATTTTCTGCATACCCAGTCCTAATTCTTTTTAAAGGTGGAAGGAAGAAAAAGTAGGATGGGGTATGAATGTTCTGAGGTTATTAGGTCAGGATGATGACTGGGGTCCAGAGAATTTTAATAAGGGACTAAAAAGATCTCTTAACAATAAGCTACTCCGAATCCCCCAGAGGGAGCCCCAATCTAGAAAACTCTTAAAACTGCAGAGCAGGAATCTCTAAGAGGAGTCTCTGGGGAAATTCTCACAGTCACTGGGACGAAGAGAGGCAATTCTGATCTACTAGGGCTCAATACCTATGGTCACATTTTATTAGTGGGGAGAGTTACTGTGCCTTAAAAGCAAACAACCGGGTCTCTGCTTTCTCCTGGTTTCCTGAAGACCTGATGGCTTTCCTAGGCTTCCTTTCAAAACCATGCAAGAAGCCTATGAAGGCAAGCCTGCCTGCAGGGTACATGGCCCAGTTCTACCTAAGGCTTTTGGGACATAAACGATGGGGTCCTTTAGCTCTGTTCCACCACTGCCACGCTTGTGACAAAGTCCCCTTTGAGAATCCAAGGGGCAGGGCCACGGGCTCGTAACTGTGTGGAGTTTTAAATTTAATGAAAAGAATAATTTGGTACTTACAAAAAAGTCTGGAGACAAAGAAAATAAGTTATAATAATTTTAATCTAATGATGCCATTAGGAATATCTGCCTTAGATAAATATCTCAGAAGATAATTACCCCAAATTTGCTTTGAGGGAAGAAGGAAAAAAGAGGTCTTGGTCACATCCCTTCTCTCTGGAGGTTTCTAGGTTTCAGAGATGTGGGAACAAGTAATAAAATAAGTCCACTATCATTCTTGCAATTTTATGAAGTTTCCTAGGACCCAGAGATTACAGAACAAGACCAGATGTTTCCTCCTCCTTGTTTGAGTCCATGGTGATTACACTCAAGGTTCCCCCCATCTTATAGTTACAAGGTTAAGTCAACAGAGCCAGAAGATAGCCACAGTTTTCTTTTCCGGAATTTTATCTGGTAATATCAGCTATATAATGCTTAGGAAATCTATCAGCAATCAATACTTGGGTGAAAGAGCCCATGCATGTGATACAATAATCAAGTTATTCTAAGAGAGATATTCTTAACGGTGTCATTAACTCCCAGCTTTTATTTGCTAGCTCCTTATGACCTGACAGCTGGATTACTGGAATAAAGACTAATTATTATCAACATAGTGGAAAAGGCACTTTATTCTGATAACATGCATGTACTTTGCAAGGCAGAAACCTAAATATTTGAATTGGGTTTATTAGCCAAACAGATAAGACTGGTAGAAAAACAGCAAGTAAAAGATACTTCAAGACACCACAGAGATGAAAAATTAAAAGCATATATACTATAGCTGTTGTTGGTTCAATACTAAATCTGAAAGGTAAATGTAAAAAAAATCTAAACAATATAACGGCAGATATGAATTTGTACTAATTATCTTCAGTACTCTTAAAATACTAGTACATACTATCAATTATTTAGAGCATTAAGTGTGGTTAAAAATATTTTCCAAATGAATAATAATCCTCTTAGCTTTAAAGCATATAAAAGAGCTCAATCAGAAACACAGCAGACAAACAAAAATAAACAAACTTACAATGATAGGAATTTTCTCTTTGGGTTTTGCTAGTTGCTTAGTCAACAAATACTGTTCCATCCCAGGTTTCGCAAATCCCGGAAATCTAATCATGAAGACAAATGCTCTTGAGTCTTAATGTCTTCCTTAAAAGAATTACACAGTTCTCATCCACATTTACTTAATATGACAATTTTAACCTTGTTCTGTCTCTCAGATGTACCAGAACTAGGAAACTGTGGTAAATGAAACCTAATGTAATCAGATTGTTCAATGGCCAATTAGTCATTTAATTAAGCTTTATCAGGTAAGAGAACAGTCTGACTCCAGAAGGTGTGATATTTATGGTACTCCATTTGCTTAACTGGATCTGAAACACTCTCTCACCCCACAGTGAAGGGCAGACCAGAAAAACATCCCCCAGGTCACAGGAGATGCTACTGAGCATACCAATGGGAGCTGACCGCAGGGGGGAATGAATTGCCCCCCCCCAAAAGTTTATGACACAAAAGAAAACTAGTTTTCTTCATAGAGACCTGAAACATAATAAAATTGGCTACTTCCAGAAATCAACTCTAAATCCAAAGCAAATTTCTAAAACTGGAGAAAAGCTGGAATACATGCATAGCCATCCAAAGTGCTACTTCTAAAGAAGACAAGATTAATTTGCAGATGCAAATTAGGACTGCTTTAATTTGGTTTCAATCTGGAATGAAATTATAGAGCAGAAAATTCTTAAAGCCAACCCCTTTACTTTGGAGATGAGGAAACTGAGGTTCAAACAGGTCGTCTAACTTCCTCAAGATCATACAGCAAATTAGAAAGCGTGGAGCAGTGGAAAGAACGCACAGGGCAGTGGAGCCAGAGGCCTGGGCACCAGCCACCACCTCACTTTCTAGCTACGAAAACCTGGCCAGTCATGTGCTTCCTCATTTTCAAACTGGCATGAAGAAACACATCTATTTAAACGGGTTTTAAATATACTCTGTATTCCGGTTTAAAGAACAACAGAGAACAGTACCCATCGCTACTGACCAGACTGAAAACTTCAAGTCTGACTCCAAGAAGCTGGACACTGGTGGTAACAAGTGACTGATTTCATTATGTAAGGACTGAGCATGAAAACACATGATGGAAGAAACCAGGCAGAGAGGAAGGAAAGTGGGTAGTAAAAGATGACATTTAATCACTGATGCTCTTTAAATATCATAGGGAGATTCGTAGAACTTATTAAACTTATAAATGAGTGTAGCTCCAGAGCTAGAGCCTCATATCTAGAGACATACATCAAACATTATGTTTACAATTTTTTTCTAGATATAGGTTAACATTCCTTGGTATCTGCTTTGAATCATAGTATTGGAACATTGAAAAAAAGTATCAGTAATTTTAGAAAATAAAACTATTTTAAACACAACTGCTGTAAGAAAGAGTACTTGATTCTTATGGAACTCAAGCTGCACTGGTGTATACGCTGGTGTAAACTATAGACTATCCAGAACTCTCTACCAAGGAATGCTGCAGTGCTCTGTCCATATTTACCAAATGCTTTCCTGTTAAGCAGTGCATCTACAAGTACTGTTCAAAACTTTTTTTAATCTAAGAGAAATCTAGGTGAAAACAATCTTAAATACATTAAGCATAGTTAGCTTAGAGCATGTACTCAGGAAATCGAGGGACTAGATTGGAATCCTGTGTGAGTTTGGACAGTTACTTAACCTCTCTGGGCTTCAGTTTTCCCCACACTAGAATAGAGATTATATGTACTACCAAGGAATATGAGGGTCCCATGAGAATGCATGCAAACCACTTTGCACAATGCCTGGCAATTCGGTAAGCGATCAATAAATAGTAAAACATTTTAAAAAGAGTTATTATTTTTGGTTTTTCTGTGACATCAACAATGAAACCCTAATATATCATGGAGTTGATAAAGGTAAAAACAGTGTTTACAGATCATTAAACAGGACAAATACTTCCTTTAAAATGAAAAAAATATTAAAATAAGCTATTAAGCTAAGATGCAAATAAAAGTGAGCAAATCACAAAACTTTGTAAATCACTAAGAGAAAAAGCCTCTGTATCTTATGTCTATACCTACACAGAGTTCCCATCCCCTGAATCTCTTTATACCTACTTGTTAAGTGGCAGCTTCATGGACGAGGCACCAGCACGGCTGTTTCCGCGCTGAGCACCTCCTGCTTCGGCCGCCTCTGAGTCCTTGAAGTAGGGAGATGATGACTTGGGGTCGTCCCAGTCTTCGTCCCAGTCATCGTCGTCACCAGTTGCTAGGGGTGGACACCGAAGATGGTCAGTAAAGAAAAACAAAATAAAAAGGGAATGACTTAATTTTCTGATAAAAATTACTGACTGGGTTGACCAATTGAAAAAAAGGAGAAGCCAGGCCGGTGTGGTTCAGTGGTTGACTGTCACTCCATGAACCAAGAGATCACCAGTTCTATTCCCGGTCCGGGCACATGACCAGGTTAGGGGCTTGATCCCTTCCCTGTAGGGGAGGGGGCGTGCAGGAGGCAGTCGATCAATGGCTCTCTCTCTTCATTGATGTTTCTCTCTCTCTATCCCTCCCACTTTCTATCTAAAGAAAAAAATCAATAAAAAAAAAATATTTTTTTTTCAAAAGAGGAGGAAAGGGTGGACTATAAGCCTACAGTGTAGACATGAAGAGTACAGGCTCCATAGTCAGTTAAGGCTGAGTTGTAGATTTTGCCTTTTAGTACAAAAAAAAAGTTAGAAACAGCTTCAAGAGGACTGTCAGTCCAAGTAACTTCACATGAACGCAGAATATAAAAATGCTACAAGGTATGCAAGGGAAGGCCTCTTCTAGAGGTCCATACATTAATAAATCTAGCTTTATAAACTTGCAAATAGGCAGATCAAATACCCTTTAAGTCAAGAAGATTGGGGAAGACAAAAGCTACGATAACACTTTGAAAAGGAATGGTGTAACACTAATCATAACAAAGGGTGAGAGCAGGCAGTGAGGGGAGAGAGGGAAAGAAATAGGGTGGGGACGGGGAAGAAAGGGAATAGAAAAATGAGAGACATGAGGTATAGCCAGCACCAGCAGCCTGACGTCACAGTGATCTGCGTGCCAGCTTTCCTGCTTCCTTCCTCCACTGTCTGTCTGTCTCCCACCTCTGATGGTCTGAGGTGGCCTTTTGCTATTAGGCAGGAAATGGCCTTGGGATCTCTGCCCTCAGAGTGCCACCACGAGACACAAATGCCAAAACAAAAGAGAAAAGAACAGAAAGTATTAGAAGGATCTGGGCCAAGTTTCCTGGGTCCATGCCACGTTACTAAGAACTACACGTCAGCAGTCTCGTCTCAACATTTCTACTTAGCCCGAGACTCCTGGTCCTGCCAACAGTGCCGTTCCTTCTACGAGCTTGGAACCAGTACCTGTGCCCTTTATGGTTCCCATGTGCAAGTCCCTAGCCATTTAGCACGTTAAATTTCTGGCACAATATGCTCATATAGGGATCATAAAAAATGTTGAGCAGATTTTAATCTTATTTCATTTCAGAACCGACGAAAATATCCTTCCTTAATTTCTGAATCGTTTCCCCATCTATAAATTCCTCTTCTGCCTCAGTATTTCCATTAATAGCCTGGGAGTCAAACAGATAGTTTAGGAGAAGACGGAACAGCTAGGTCAGAGATCATAAACCAGCAGGTGATGCACCATATTTAATCTGTATACACATTTTTTTCGCCCAAGATTTACAAGCAAATAAATATGTGTTAACTGCCAAGATTTTAAAATGTTCTTTTGCTTTATGAACCTGGCCCCTGCAAGCAACATGTACATCTGTGACTCCTTGAGAGATAACAGATTGGACTAAAGGTCATAATTAACAACTACTTACAACAGATCCAGACTAATAGGTTTGCTATTAGTGAGTAGGAGGACCTGCAAGCAGTTCCTTGGATTAAAATCTATTTTTACTCCGATGCCCCAGTCACTTTAAGGGCGGGTCCCATCGCCAGCAGAGCCCTCTTCCTCACCTGGTCCTTGGTAGGCCTGGGGATGACCAAAGGTAGTGTCCCAGTTATTGGAAGTGTTTCTCTGGGCTGCAGACCCCTCTGGCTTGGCTCCCCAGCCATCTGTGCTGTCCCAGTTTCCAGATTTGGAGGCACTCCAGGCTGACCAGGGGTCACTGCCACTGCTGACCTGTTGTTAGGAGTAAAAAAGGAGAAAATACTTGTAACTTCTAGAAAGCATTGCTCAATTCAGTAGGAATCACGTGACAATGGAATACAATAAGAGTACTGAAAGAAACCATAGAAATTTAAAACAATTTTAAATTTAAATAAAAAATCTTAGACTTGTAGGAAAGCACAGAAAGCAACATCAACCTGATTTTATTGATGTTAACATTTTGCCATATTTGCTTAGCACTTTACAACCAGCAACAAAGAAACTGTTAGACTAGCATCCCGCTCCCTCTCTTTCTTCTTCCTCCCTGAATAACTACCTTTCTGCACTGAGTCATTCCATGTGTATCCATATGCTACCACTGCTTACGTAAACATTTATAGATAACTGTTTCATACTTTCAGAATGGAACTAAGTATACTATATGTATCTCTTTGCAACTTGTCTTTTTCTTCATGTAACATTGTAACATTATGTTTTTGAGATTATACATGCTAATAAGGAGGATGTTTTATTCACTTTAACTGGTTTAGAGCAATCAGTTGTATTTTTACTAGGCTTTTACTTTTGTTTGCAAGAGTAATACAGTCCCAGAAAAAATTTTCTAACAGAATACAAAGACATGCAATTAAAAATATGCCTACTATCCTAAGATGCTAGTCATTCTTTCAATGACTACTACTACTAACAAATTCCTTGTATACACTTACTTAAACATCCCGCTCAGAGATCCTTTGTGTTTTTAAACACATAAGTGAGCTCAAATTATACTTTTGCTCTGCACATTTGTTTTTTTTCCTAAAGAGCCTGAAACACTCTCCAAGGTATATCAGCACATCTGGATGGCATCTTTCTTTTACACAGCTCCAGAGTTCCACTGCATTTATTCCCCATCATTTTACCAGCATATGGTGGTGCTCATTTATCTTGTTTTCAGTATTTTGTTCCTGTAAAAAACCTGCAATGCACATCCTTGTACATCCTTCCCCACATGCCAAAGAGACCTCTGTGAAATTCCCCATTCTTCCTTTGAGCAATTTTATAGTTTAATAATTATTATAAATAAAAATTTTGAAAAGGCAACACATGGCACCCAATTTCAAGGGGCATCGCAGTAAGAGTACCTATAGCCCACCTCTCCACCCCTGCTGACCCATCCGTGAGTCAAACAGGTTTTTTTTATTTGTTTTTGTTTCCTTGATTTAAACGTTATAAATCTTCAGTATGTCTGGAATTTACTTTGGTATAAGAAATAACAGAAATCCAGCTTAGTTTTTTCTTGTAGTCTGGAGACCTATCATTTAATGACTGATCCATCTCCCTACCACTGATCTGAAATGTCACCTCCATCACATACTGGACTGGGGCCCATTTCTAGGCTCTCTATTGTATCTTGGTAATCTACCTGAATTAGTGCTACACTACTCTGGAACCCATTAGATAGAATACCATTAGTAACTGAGCATAATATCTTTTTTATCAGTTAATTTCTAAACTTTATCATCAGCTTAATATTTTAAATCTAAAACAATCTGAACTTTAGCATCGGAGTGTCAAATTTTTAATAATATCTTGATTTTCATTTCAATCACTTAAATATACAGATAAATTCAGGAAAAACAAATAGTGCTTTTCAATGTTTAATCTGTTTATCCAAGAACATGAAATAGCAGAATCTCCTCTTCACTGGAGTCTTTTTTCTCACATGAGAAAAAATGTGGTGTTGGGGGTAGTGGTATTTATAAGAAAATTTCCAAAACTGTTTAATATACCTCTCTGATGTTCTAGAACCCTATGCTGTTCTTTGTTTACTCTTCATTAACTGACAAATGGGGCGGATAATTAGCTGCCAGGTACCAGAAGCATCAAAAACAGAATACATGTTTTACATGTGGAAGTATGATTTCATTCTAACACCTCTTTATACCCTCAGGAAAAAAATGAAGTTACTAGTGATTTTGCTCTAAGGCAAATATTAATAGCAGAAAGACATTTTATCTATACAACTATGAATTTCTCGAACACATGGCTTACAAGGTAATACTTTCAAGCTACTCTAGTGGATACTGGAAATAAAGGCAGATACTGAGGGCGGCAGTTAGGAGCACAGTTTCCCTCTAGGTCAGGCTGTGGGTGTTAAAATCCTGGCTCTACCTCTTTCTAGCTGGACAACCTCAGCCAGAATTTGAACCCAGGAAGCCTGACTCAGATACAGAAAGACTGACACAGAAGCTAAATGAAGTAACAGAGGGTTATAAACTACAGCAACAGGAAGGGTAGAAGTTCGGCATTGCCATGATGATGTGTCAGCAAACTGTCAAAGAAAGATTTTCAATACTGAGGGAAAAATTGAACATGAACTATTGATAGCAAGTATCCTTAAAAAATTAAAACTTAGGACAGAAACATATAACATGATAATTCTCTTTAAAACCACTTGGTTTACAAATTGCTTGTAATAATTGCTATATTATTTGGTTATGTATATGATCGTAGATCTCTATCTAGGTTATAAAATCCTTGTAGGCAAATCTAGTAATTGCTTGCTTCTCTGTCTTTTGTTATTTTTCCTGGAACTTTCTCTCTAACTTGTTTCAATCTCACTCCTGCTGATAAATCTTTCCAAACCTGACCAACCAGAAATCTCCTCTCCAGCATTTCTCATTGACCTTTTACTGGTTTTCTCTCTTTCTGATGATCTTTTAAGGACCTCCAGGACCCCTCCTCTAATATCAGTAACTAATAATAAGCTCACATTGTCTGTCTAGTTCTGTTTCTCTCTGAGCCCACCCTTCCCATACTTTGGCCTCTGACTTCTTTACTTTCAAGCCCCCAAAACTCCCTTAGTCCCTCACCTGCAGGCTGTGGTAAGACACTAGCCCACTCTGCTCCTCCACTAAGGCTCCAACCCTGCGGCGCCTCCTCTGCTTTCTCCCAGCTTTCCTTCCTCTCTCCTTTCTCCTCAGCATCTCCATCCTCTCCTAACTCTAAGGTACCAAACCCTTCCCAACTCTCAACCATGTCTTTAAAAGCCCTTCATTAGCTCTCACTGACCATGGAATAAACAAGCTCTTAGTCCATCCATCAAGGTCATAATTTTTCCTTCCATGACATTCCCCATTCTTACTCTCCACTGACCTTCACTTCTGTGCTTCAGCCTTCACAGTTTCCCAAACTTTGCTACATCCTAGCTTTTGCTCGCGCTATTCTATTAGCACACAAAGCCGCCTCCTTCATCTTCCTAAATTTTGTCAAAGTCCTACCGGATCCTAAGGGATCCAGTCTCAGAGGTTGCTAGCTCACAATGTCACATCCTTATATCCTTATATAGTCTTAAGTTAGAGTCATTTGCATATCAGGTGGTCATTCCCACTAGTAAGTCACAGTTATAGTCCTATCTTATTTAAAAAACATTTCCCCCAAAGATTATCAAAATGCCTTACATAAAGTGGCAAGGACTCAAAGAAATATTTTTTTAATTAAAATGGTTAAATTTTACAAAGAGAGGGGTTGGATTTTCCTTATGCATGCTAACTTGAGTCATTTATAGGAAAATAACCCTACTGTGGTTGATCACAGAATAAATGATTTTCAGCACATGACACTACCACACTCTTCCATGTTACAAAAGCAGCACCAGCACACTGCAGAAAAGTTGGAAGATAGACAGGCACAGATGGACAGAGGGATGGACAGATATGCGATAAAACAACAGTAAAATGTGAATGGTAAAATTAAGACACTAGTTTATGATTATTCACCATAAAATTCATTGACATTTTCAATGCCTGAAGTTTCAACAAAATGGTAAATCCAACAAAATCTGTATATACAATCACCCTGTCTTCTGAACTCCATCAGGATGCACACAGGAGACCCAGAGAAGGGCTATATCCATCAGAGTCACCAGTGATTCCCTGTTGCCTATGAACATGGGTCCTGGCACATAGTAAGTGCTTAGTAAATTAAGCATTTGTTAAATAAAAATACTCCCAAAGTGTGTTTGTCTGAATCTCTATTATAAATGCATTTTCATCTGCCTTGCACTAAAACTGGCTGACTGTCCGCCTCTTCCCCTAAACCCTATGCCAATTAAATGAAGTGCTCCTTAAGGCCAGGAACAATCTATTCAACACATTTGCTTATTTAGCACTCTAAATTTAAAAGCTATCCTACCCTCATAAAACGAACAGAGACATACCTACACTGGTTTTATATAATGAGAGTTACTTAAATATATTCACTGAAAGGATTAAAGCATAAGCTGAGTTTCTTCAGAAAGAAGACTGTTTATACCTGACTGCAGAGCCAGAAAGACCACAGAATGAGTCAGAATGGCCATGAGGGGATGGGCAGTGATGGGTTTTCCTGAGATGATAATCGTAGAAAAGCTGTGCGTGTTACAAATACATAATATGGGATAAAAAGGGGCAAGGATAAGAATACTGGTCCACTGGGTGAATTTTAAATCCCAGGGACCACGGATTCAACGGAATTTGATTCAAGTAAACTGCATGTGGGTACAGTGGTTAAGAACTTAGGCTCTACAGTTGTCTGTCTGGGCCTGAATCCCAGCTTTATCACTTATGAGCTGTATGAACTTAGCCAAGTTACTCCATCTCTCTTAGTTTCCACATTTATACAATGGGTACAATAATATTAACTTCCTCATAGGGGTTTTATAAGGATTAAACGACATAATGTATATAAAGCACTTAACACAATACCTAGCACATAGTATGCCTTCAGGAGAGGTTATCTTATTATAAAGGGGGGAGGTGGTATCACCTAGAATATAAAGACATGAATGAAGACTGGCAGTCTTTTGAATAAATCCCTATATGACTAGTACGCCTATTAGTTTATGCTTTAGAGGAAAAGATTAAAAAGTTGTATTTCTAATTGGTTTCAATGCCAGAAACTTTTGATTAAAGAGGTGATAACAAGCACTTAAGATATTTTTTATTCTAGCCAAAGATCTGTTTCCTTCAGATATATAAATGAAAGAAAAAGAG